TCAGTTCTAAAAGGGAAATTTATGGAAAGGTTTTAATCAGTCTTAGTATTGAGAGAGGTATGGTACAATATATGGGGGCAGAAATGTTTTAACGCTCCATTCTGTAACTTGAACACAATGCCAAATAAATGTGACAATACATAAGACTATGTGAAAGAGAAATACATCCATTAAATCTCATTTTCAAGTAGCACTTATCCGTTGTAGTGTCTTTAAAGCTGAAAAATGGGAATTTAAAAATAAATGGTACTGTAGGACTATTATGTGATGATCAATAAGGTGGCCTTCTCCACGTCCAACCCCTCCACCATGTACTGGGACTGTGGAAACAGGATAAATAGGGGATTGCCTTACAGGGCGATTTATGGTAGTCAGCTCTGCTCTCTAGGCCACTACAGTAGACATGAAGGCTTAAAGGATTTACTCTGAAATGCCCTGGCTAACGGGATTCTGGTTAGGTGGACCAGGATCACTAGCCTGGGCAATTGGCAACTGGTCTAAGAGAAGGACATTCCAAAAATAAACTTGCAGCCAGTAAGTCTTTCAGTTGTCTCGGTTTACCTTGTGTCACTGGGCACCTCTGCTGCTACCCAGTGTACTTCACTGCCTGGCCAGTTTGGATGGTCTTACGATCACAAACACACACCAGATTATCTTTCACCAAGGTGTGTATTTATTCTTTGCTTACATAATAACAGTGTACTGCAGGCTTACAGCAAAGGGATGCCCCTCCCAGCCTTCACTGCTCAGCCCAGGCTCATCCTCTGAGCTTTCCTTCTGAGGCCCCCTGAGTTCCCCCTTGCTTCCTGTTCCTTCCGTTCATATTCTCCCAATTACATCATTAACCCAGTGATTAGCACCCAGGTGCTCATAATCCCTCAACTGAACATGTATAATTGGCTTCAATTAGGCCTGCCCTCTTCCCAGTGCTGCAGCAAACTCAGTGACCAGAGTGTTACTAATAGTACCCTGTCACACCTTGCCACTGGCAAGAGTCTTGTTGGCTGAGAGTGTGTGCGAGTTGGTGTGCAACTGCTTGTTCACTTTAAACAAATTCTCGCACAGCCTTCAACAATCCAACAAATCCTGCAGCGATGGGGAATGGCAAAATTGACAGTCGATGAACGTTGCTGGGAGTCATAGTCTTGAAATCTGCATGTGGGCTGGTCAAGAATTTGGTCACTCTGCATTGACCTGGGGTGACACCATAGTGTGGCAGCATCTTGATCGACATGACTGCTCTATTCAGGGGCAGCACAGCTGACCTCAATCTGAGGAAGAGGCTAGAAAAGATTCCCCCAAAATTGCTCATCCCGAACAGCCCTCACCAGCTTACCCTGGCTGGAGGGTGTCCCATCATGCAGTCAAAATTCAAACAAACCTTGAAAAGTTTCCTTTTGTGTTACTGTTGCAATGTGGTATGTTCATACATTATTGATCATTCAAACCAAACTGATTCTCCTGTCATGTGAGCTGCTCTGGTTGTTTGAGAGCTTGAAAGATACTGTATCAACATTGAGGCATTGAACAAGATTCAACTTGCTGAAGAGAGACAACTGATTGAGCAGAGTGCTGAGAACAGTTTCTTCTGGAAGGGACGCCCACAAAACAAGCAGGAATCATCTTTGCAATCAGAAAGAATATTGTCTCTTGTTTGGAGAGCCTACCCATTGGTATAAATGACAGACTGATGATGCCCCAACTGCCCTTGAAAGGTGGATGTTACGCTTCATTGATCTGTGCTTACTCACTGACGATGACTAACTCTCATGAGGATAAAGAGCAATTTTACTCTGAACTAAAAGACCTGATTCTATTGACTCCCTGTAGAGACTAGTTGATTATTTCAGGTGACTTGAGCACTTGTGTTGGCTGTGATGATTTCTACATGGCATGGCATATTTGGTAAACATGGGGTTGGCAAGATGAATAGCACTGGCCTACTTCTGCTGAAGATAGGGGTCGAGTATCATCTAGTTGTTAAAACATTGTCTTCCAACGTCCCAACAAATAAAAATGACCTGGATGTACGTTTGCTCATGTCATTGGCATTTGATCAACAATGTGTTGGCGTGACATCATGATCTAGGACGACGTGTGCATAATTCTGGTATTATGTGGAGCTGATTGTTGGACTGACCACCCTCTTATTTAGCCAAGTGCTCTATTTATCCAAAACACCAGTCAGTTAAGTGTGTAACATTTTCCCAATGAAAGATCTGTCAATTGCCGAACAATTTTCAACACAGCTAACTATTGTTTTAGAAACTCTTCCAATGACCAGTTATGACACATTTGCCATATGGGTATCCTTGCGTGACACAATCTGTAACACGATTGTGGATTGTTTATAAAACACTGTCATGCAGACTGGTTTGACAATAGTGATTCTGAAATATCAGATCTCCTTGATGTCAAGCAATAAGGGCATGCTGCGCTCTTATCTGACCCGCTCTCTGAAACAAAAAAGGCCAGATGTAGGGCAGCCTGCGGTATACACCAATGCAAACTCTGCCAAATGCAAAGTATGTGGTTTGACTGTAAAGTAGATAAACTACAGGAGATCACTGATAATCATGACTCCAAAGGTTTCTATGGGGCGATTAAAGCTGTGTATAGCCCTGCTCTGTCTTCCTTGACACCGCTAACAACTGCTAATGATGAATATCTCATCACAGATCACAGTGCCATCTACCAACAACGGCGTGAACAAAACATTTCAGTGAACTACTTAATCATTTATCTACTGTTTCTGATGAGTCACTGGATAATGTCCACAAATTGCCCACATCAATGCACTTGTCAATTCACCCACTTGAGCTGAAGTGTTGAAGGCTGTTCAAGCAATGAAAAATAACAAATCTCCTGGTCCTGATGCCATTCCAGCTGAAGTTTTAAAACATGGAGGAAATCTCATTGACAGGCTTTTTGAAGTTCTCTTACATATCTGACTTCAAGAAACCATACCACAACAACTGAAAGATGCCAATTCATCATTATCCATAAGCATAAAGGTTCAAAAAGCAACTCTGGTAACTACCACGGTATCTCTTTGCTCTCTGTGGCCAGAAAGATTCTTGCATGGATCTTCCTAAACCAATCCCTGACCAAAATCATTAACACAGAATCTGTCTATAGACAGAAATCAAAGTCTGTAATGCTCACATAATTGCAGTACAGGTGTGAATCATGGACCTGTTATCAACAGCACATTAAAAAGTTTGACCGTTTGAATTTGTGACACCTATGTCAATTGCTGGGCATCAAATGGCAGGACTGGGTTTCCAACAGAAGTACTGGTGAAAGCTGAACTTTGTTCAGCATCAAGGCTCATTTGATCTGTGCCCTGTTGAGATGGACTGGACATGTAATTCGTACGCCTGAGACTCATTTATCAAAACAGGTCTTATATTTCTAATTAAGTTCCAGCAATTGTAAGTGTGGGGGGCAGATGAAACACTTCAAAGACACCCTGAAACAAAATTTGCACAAAAAGAACATTTCTGACCCAACCTTTGAGCAACTGGCAATTGATCATACTGCATGAGGCCACGCCATAAAGGCAGGTGTCCACGACTTTGAGAAGAATTGCATTGAGCAAGTGGAAGCACATTGCCAGGCAGCTCAATCAGTGCAGCTAGGTAAATGGCTCTGACCAGTGGGGTAAACATTGTTCTTCCTGAGTTGGTCTATGGAGTCGTGCACAGACCCATTAGTACAAACTGTGATTGTCAGTGTTGTCCTGGAAATCAAAGTGATTAGCATCATCATTAAGGTTGTTGCCTGCTGGTATCTGTACCTCCACCGCCAGTTTGAGTAGGTCAGTTCCTGTGCTCCCTCTATGGCCTGGTCTACTGGGGGTGGGGATCGATCTAAGATACGCAACTTCAGCTACAAGAATAGCATAACTGAAGTCGACATATCTTAGATCGACTTAGAATCACTTACTTCACGTCCTCGCAGTGCGGGATCGACGGCCACTGCTCCCCTGTCGACTCCGCTTCCGCCTCTTGCAGTGGTGGAGTTCCAGAGTCGATGGCAGAGCGATCGGGGATCAATTTATTGCATCTACACTAGACGAGATAAATCGATCCCCAATAGATGGATCACTACCCACCGATCCGGCAGGTAGTGTAGACGTGGCCTTGTATTTGTCATGTTTGCTCTTCCAAAAATAGATTCCGGAAGAGACTAACAGTAACCAATTTTAAAAAGTGTGGTCACCCATCTTTCTACTTCCACTCACCAAAAAGAAAAACAGTATATTTTTCTTTAAAATGAAGGATTCAGCGTACAATTTTTTTGTTCAGGGTATAGCCAAATCATAGTCTTATTGACATCAGTGAATTTGTCAATGATTCCATTTGGACCAAGATCTGTCCATGTAAGAGTGCATTAATGAATGTATCCTGTGAGTAGAGCTGGACAAATAGTAGGAAAAACTTTTTTGTGAACGTTTTTCCCAGGTTTGAATCACTTTTGGATTTTGTGCACTCCCACTTTTTGTTTGCTTTCCTTAGAACATTCATACAGGTGGGATTTTGTAGAAATATCCGGGGGGGATGGCTGATTTTTCTGCAAATACCACTGTTCACATGTGATCAAGGGTTTTTGCTATTCCTGCTGTAAGTGCCTGCCTGTTTGTTAAGTTTTGTGTCTTCCAATCAGAAAGTAGAAATAATGCCCTGACACTTAGGTGACTAAACATACACCTCAGGCAGAAAATAATCAAAGATGCATAATGAATAGTTTTCAAATAATCCATAGGTTAAAATATGTTTACATACAGTATTCATCAAACAATTATGAATAACAAATACATTTATCAAAATCAGCCTGTTGGTAAATAATTCATAAATAGAAAAAAAGAGCTGCAGGCCAACCAGATCCTACTCCCAATTCAAGGGAAGTTTGTCATTGACATCAGCATGAGCTGGTTCATGCCCTGGTACATTAGTCAGCAGTATTGAATGTCAAAATAACCAAGTGATTCCATGTACCTTTATTTGTTTGATTTCATACCGGATCATTTTGTGAGTGTCAAGTGGGTCATCACTGGCAGGAACCACCTTTTCACTGGATATTTTTGCACGAATCACTGCAAGGGGGGAAAAAGATTTTATTTGCAAAGAAGCATATGCCTGACTTTTCCATCAGTACTATATGTTACATTTTTCCATTTATTAAAATAATTGTAACAGATTGCTATGTTTTTCTATTGGACATTAGAAAATGTTCAGTAGCATTTAAAGCTTGTTAGTACAAGATTGTTCAAGACTGAGTTAACTCCTGAAAAAATAAAAACGATACAGGGCATAACCTGCCATGTAAATACTACATCATTTTCAACGAACCAAAATATATCATATGGTTCTGAAATTTTCTGGTGTAGATTTCAGGCCAGATTTTCAAAAGGATTCAGTACCCAGCAGCTCCCAATGAGCCACTTCATTTTGGTGCCTAAGTAGGAATTGGTAGCTGCTCAGCTCTTTTGAAAATCTCTGTTGAGACAAACATTAGCTAAATGAGAATTGGTTGTCTAAATCCACTAGTGAGCTTTGATTAATCTGCAGGCCTGATTCAACTCCCATTGACTTCAAAGTGTTTTGTGTTGGGCCCCTGAAATACAGAGTAGCAATGAAATGGACCAGAGTCAGCATTCAGTAAGACCATGGCAGGCAAGATAGAAATATGAATACCGTGTAGAAAATTAGAAAGAGAAGAAGATGAGGTCAGGCATCAAAGTTACATCTCTTGTGATGGCAAGTAGCTGCACCTCAGTAGCTATTTCTCAGATTCCATATGTAACTTTTATTAAACAGTGTAAATGAGTTACTTCTAGTATTGCCTTTAGTGATGTCTTCTCTGTTTTAGCTGCTTTGTGCAGAGGGGAAATTATTTATTTCAATCTTTATAATCAAGAAAGAAACATTTAGCTAATGTGTACTATAAATAATCAGTCAGTATGTGAATGAGCCTAATGAGGAGAGAACTTCTCAAAGTGTGGTGTCTGGCTCCACAGGAGTGTTCATGCTGCACTCTCCTCTGTGTTGCTACAGCAGGTACAATCCTCCTTTCGAGCTTGCAGCAGGGGCATTTTGCCTACAATTTTTATCATGTTCCAGTCTTGCTCATTTGTCTTTTCCTCGCAGAATGTTTCATTTTCCTACTTGTTATCGGGAACAGTATAGTCTCATGCAGAAAACTCCTATGTTATCTCAAACCTCTTAAAACACTCCAGGAAGGCTTTGGAATGCCATTCTAATCAACCAGACATATTACACAGAAACTGAAATATCTTTCTGATTGTTGGTTAAAAGTGTGTCTTTTTTCCCTATCTAACCAGATTTTCTAAAAATATTAGGTAAAAGGGTGGAATATTAGGCACAGAGTATTAGGATATGTCTCCACTACAGCAGCACAGCTGTGTCGCTGTGGCTACACCACTGAAGTGTAGACACTTGCTACAGCACTGGAACGTTGTTTCCGTCACTGTAGTAAATCCACCCCCTCAAGAGGTGTAGTTAGGGTGACAGAATTCTACATCCCAGGTCGGCTTAACTATGCCTCTCGCCCCTGAGCGATGTAGGCAGGTTGACCTAAATTTTAGGTGTAGACCAGGCCTAATACTGTGTTAAGAATAATACATTGGGGCCAAAATCTTACACTTTGTGCTTTTGCCCCCAAAATAAGAATTAATTAATATTAATAAGGGTATTAATTTGTCCCCAATTCTGTCTGGCCACAGTCCCACATGCCCTTTGCAGGCTGTTCCTGTGAAGAGGAAGAGTAATTAGTGTGGAGAGGTAGTGCATGGATCCTAACAGTCAGGAGATATGGGCATTCCAAAGCACAGATCACAGCCACAGCTCTAACCCCATCTATATGACCTCTTCCATAGGTGGAGCAGTCAGTGATGGATCTGTAGAGTGGTGTCTCTGCATCTGTAGTGGGGAACTACAGAGTCATGGAGGAGCTGTTCTGCTACACACTTCCTGTCCTGGTTGTGCCATTTTGGGCATTCATGTTCGATGCCAGAATTTGTCCTTCAGTACTTACTAACTGTGGAAACAGCTTTCAGACACCTTTCATGGTTCTGTTTGTTCATTTGTTTTATTTTTAGCATTGAAAGAGGAAAAATAATCCCAAGTATATATACAAAATAATGGGATCTAACTTAGCTGTTACTATTTAAGAAAGAGATCTTGGAGTCATTGTGGATAGTTCTCTGAAAATATCTGTTCAATGTGCAGTGGCAGTCTAAAAAGCTAGCAATTTTAGGAACCATTAGAAAAGGTATAGATAAAACAGAAAATACCATGTCACTATAGAAATCCATAGAATGCCCACACCTTAAATAATGCATGCAGTTCTGGTCACCCATCTCAAAAAAGATATATTAGAGTTGCAGAAGGTGCAGAGAAGGGCAATAAGAATGGTTAGGGTTATGGAACAGTGTCCATATGAGAGATTAAATAGATTGGGACTGTTCATCTTAGAAAAGAGACAACTGGGGGCGGGGGTGAGGAGATATGACAGAGGGCTGTCAAATCAGGAATAGTATGGAGAATGTGAATAAGGAAGTGTTATTTACTCCTTCACATAACACAGGAACTAAGGGTCACCCAATGATATTAATAAGTAGCAGGTTTAAAACAAACAAAAGGAAGCACTTCTTCATACAACCCACCGTCAACCTGTGAAACTCACTGCCAGGGGATGTTGTGAAGGCCAAAAGTATAATTGAGTTAAAAAAAGAATTAGATAAATTAATGGAGAACAGGTCCATAAATGGCTATAAGCCAGTATGGTCAGAGACACAACGCCATGCTCCAGGTATCCCTAAATCTCCAGCTGCCAGAAGCTGAAACTGTATGACAGGGGATGGATCACTCGAAATTGCTCTGTTTTCTTCATTCCCTGTAAAGCATCTGGCAGTGGCCATTGTCAGAGACAGGATACAGGCTAGCTGGACTGTTAGTCTGACCCAGTATGGCTATTCTTATGTCTTTTTTTTTTAATAAGCTAGCAGCATTGACATGACACTTAAATATTTTCAATGCACTCAGAAAAATCATAGTCAACAAGTTAGAGTAGGGAAAGGTCTCTCAGAAATTAGATCTGCGAAAAATGAAATTAGTTTGTGTAACACTTTTAAAGTAGAAATGCTTTTAATCATAACTAGTTAAACAAGAATCATGCCTTCCTCTAGAAAGTAAACGGTGAAAACATACTCTGTATATGGTGGCTTAAACCTATTTCTAAAGGAAAAAAAGACGTGAAAGCCTATAATAAAAACCAGGTTGTTTTCTTTAGAGCAATATAGAGGTCAGCCTCAGCTAATGATAGGCAATTTTCATTTCCTGCTTATTTGCAGAGAAAAATGGATGCATTAATCAACACAATACAGATGGCTGCAGCTTCTGAGCATGAATCCTTGCATGGAGTGGTACAGTGCTCCTAGATCCTAGAAGGAAGCATAGTAGGCTTAGAAAATGAGCTGGATAGAAAGGAATGGGTTCTTCACGTGTGAGTAGCAAATTCCATGGTTCAGCTTCTTCTAAACTGTAGACGAGAAATCATCTACAAATGAGTTATACACCCACTTATTAATGCAGATTTTAAGTGCTTTAATATACTTCCACATAAAAAGTTCAACAATTTCCATCCCACCATCAACCTCAGCCTAGACCAATCCACACAAGCAGTCCATTTCCTGGACACTACTGTGCTAATAAGCGATGGTCACATAAACACCACCCTATTCCGGAAACCTAGTGACTGCTGTACTTACCTACATGCCTCCAGCTTCCATCCAGGACACACCACACGATCCATTGTCTACACCCAAGCTCTAAGATACAACTGCATTTGCTCCAATCCCTCAGACAGAGACAAACACCTACCAGATCTCTATCAAGCATTCTTAAAACTACAATACCCACCTGCTGAAGTGAAAAAACAGATTGACAGAGCAAGAAGAGTACCCAGAAGTCACCTACTACAGGACAGGCCCAACAAAGAAAATAGCAGAACGCCACAAACTGTCACCTTCAGCCCCCAACTAAAACCTCTCCAGCGCATCATCAAAGATTTACAACCTATCCTGAAAAATGATCCCTCACTCTCACAGATCTTGGGAGACAGACCAGTCCTCGCTTATAGACAGCCCCCCAACCTGAAGCAAATACTCTCCAGCAACCACATAACAAAAACACTAACCCAGGAATCTATCCTTGCAACAAAGCCTGATGCCAACTCTGTCCACATATTTATTTAAGTGACACCATCATAGGACCTAATCACATTAGCCACGCCATCAGGGGCTCATTCACCTGCACATCTACCCATGTATATGCCATCATGTGCCAGCAATGCCCCTCTGCCATGTATATTGGCCAAACCGGACAGTCTCTATGCAAAAGAATAAACGGACACAAATCTGACATCAGGAATCATACTATTCAAAAACTGGTAGGAGAACACTTCAACCTCTCTGGCCACTCAGTAAAAGATTTAAGGGTGGCAATTTTGCAACAGAAAAGCTTCAAAAACAGGCTCCAACGAAAAACTGCTGAGCTTGAATTAATATGCAAACTAGATACCATTAACTTGGGTTTGAATAGAGACTGGGAGTGGCTGGGTCATTACACATATTGAATCTATTTCCCTAAGTTAAGAATCCTCACACCTTCTTGTCAACTGTCTAAATGGGCCATCTTGATTATCACTACAAAAGTTTTTTTCTCCTGCTGATAATATTTCATCTTAACTAATTAGCCTCTCTCAGTTTGTATGGCAACTTCCAACTTATCTGTACGTATATATAGAAATCTTCTTACTATATGTTCCATTCTATGCATCCGATGAAGTGGGCTTTAGCCCATGAAAGCTTATGCTCTAATAAATTTGTTAGTCTCTAAGGTGCCACAAGTACTCCTGTTCTTTTTGCAGATACAGACTAACACGGCAGCTACTCTGAAACCTGTCATAAAAAGTACTTGTAGATGGTGTGCATTAATTCTTACTGTATTGTGGAAAAGGTCTAAATCAGAATCAGGTTTAGGCGTCCTCACTAACACTGCTTATTAAAAGAAA